TGCGGGATGCTTCCAAGGCAATGAATGATCGGTTCCTTTCGTGTCAATTATGGGTCCAATATCCGCATTCAATTTCGATTTTGACATTTTTATTTCTCATCAGTGTTGCAATGCTGGTGATAAGTGATATGTATTGTATGCCTTTTGAGGGGGCCGGGGGGGGGGGGGGAGGGGAGCTTCCCCAATACGTTATTGATCTTAAAGTTTATCAAACTTCAAATTCAAAATGTATTGATTATAATCCAAACAGATACGATCATTTTCATTTTTTTAGGCAAATGATAAGAAAAATCAAAATCATATCGTAACAGAGTTAATGAAGTGCAAATAATATTAGAGTGTATGAAATACTGGTCCAGCCTATATTTTCTTTAGAGTGTAATCTGCACTAATGGATGATTTTTTTTTACTAGGTTAGTATGATGTAATGCAAATCATTACCCAAATTGTGCGTAAATTGCCTGAAGTTGCTCTGACGCATATAATTTCCCTCACGTTTGACTTCTTCACACAGCATGTACCGGTATATACTCGCAAATAAATATGTTGTCACATTATTTCCATTCTAGCAAAGTACCCGTCCCATGATATACAAAATATAGATCTTTCTCCCTTAGATTAATACAATTACAGCCCTTGCGTTGTCCATTTGAAGAAAAAAACACGCTATAAAATGCATGTATACATGTACTAGTTCTTTGTTTAATTGTTGGTGGCCACTCAAGGTAAACAGAACGGTTGCGTGAATAATGACAGTACTCAAGCATATCAGTTATCCAATCCTATTGGATTTGAATGGCAATCCGTCATCTCCAAAGCCTATTTCATTGATTATCTGTCAGCCTAGACCGAAGGGGATGATGATAACCAAGGCATTGCAGGGAGGGGGGGGGGGGGGGGGGAAGAGGCACCGGCACGTTTGCCATTTAACCGAATGGATAGAAAGAGAGGGGGCGAGGTTAGCAGGCGCATATCAAGGAACGTGAAATTAAGATAGCACCCCCATCTCTAACCGCTTTCCACCCCTAATCGATAGCCCCCATTCATATTTCATTCATCGCCCCCTCCCCATAAAAGCAAGTGCCCCTTTAGCGGGATCACGCTACGCTATGACTGTCAACTCCAGTAAATGTGAAATGTCGGAATGGACGTCAGGGATAATGGTTATTACAGTTCGCAAAATGGTTTGGTATGTGTCGGGATGTCGGGAAGAGAGGTGTGGGGGGGGGGGGGAGGGAGGGGGGGGGGGGGGGTGTTGAGTGAGGGTCAATAAAGGGGCGAGTGTGCAATGTCATATTGATCGTAATGGATAATGGTTATTACAGTTCGCAAAATGGTTTGCTGTTTGAGGGAGAAGTCGAGAAGAGACTATAATAACAAAGGGACGAGTGTTGGCTAGGAGATGAGGAGAAATGTATAGGTCAAAGGTTACATCATCAACCATCACTCCTCAATCCGGATCGATCATAGCCTGTGCCCTTATCATCATGATAGGGAAGACCTTGACTCAGTGCCAATAATTCCATATAGCATGTCCGGTTTACATGTAAAACATAATTTCAGGTTTCAGGCACATAAATTATTTGATTCCTCCAAAAATGAGAAGACCAAACTGTATTTTCACGTTTTCTCCGTACGTATTCACTAGCTGCAAGCCCATTAACCTACTCTCTTTTCTTTCTTTCTTTCTCTTCCTAGCTCCCCTATTTCATTTATATGTTCCTCCGGTAGGCCTGTGTTCGTACCAAAGCCTTACCCAACGTAATTCTTAAAATGTATAAAGGTGAACATTATTATTTCCAGAAAGTTTTCAGTGAACTCGATTTTTCTTCCCCCCCCCCTCCCTCCCCCGTTCCCCAAACCGTCTTCGTGCTAAAACCATCACGAAGTGGCATTATGTTGAATCCAATGCGCTCAAATTATACAATGAAGTGACGGTACACACAGGTAAAAAAAGAGTAAAAGTTGCTAAGTGCACTTGGACATGTCTGTACCCATGGCAACAGATCATGACGGTGCCGGATATAAGTTCATGTGTCATAATCGTTTCGATACTGTACATAAAACACCTGTGTACTAGATCCCAGACCCCATGGGACTCACTTACTAGTTACTATATATATTTAGATGTTACGATAAATTATTTAAAGATGCGATTTAGTACTGGGCCTGTATAATCAATAGCAACTTAAAATTTATCGCAATTGTGTACTTAAAGGTACTATGTCCCATTTGCAGGCCAAAACAAATGAAAAAGTTAAATTCCAACTGCATTTGAAAGATAATACTAATTTAGAACTTCCCTACAAAAGGTGGGGCTTGAAAATGTCTTCAAGTGGGAAAATAACGACTATTAGTTGTCAAATCGACTTTAGGGCTATAGAGCCCAAAAGTAATAGTCTTGATTTTCAGACAATAATTGTACCGAATGGTCATACGTTTTATGCTGCGCAAAGATTCAATCAGTTTAATCTTGGCCATCACAAGAAGTGGGTTATTGATGTAGACAAATGCTCATGTACCCTTTACAACTCTTTTCATGTTTGTTATTACCAAGGAGAAAAAAGCCAGTCAGTCACTCAATAGTGTCTGACAGTGAAGTCTAGCAAATAAACAGGTTTCCTTGCATAATTTGAATATGGGGAAACTGCTAACGTTTAAATTTCACAGATAGGACATACATGGCATATTCATAATTCCTGCAAAGTTCTACAGCATTTGATTTGGATTCGCCAACTTTTCTGACGAATGTTGGCGAAAATCAGCTACTTTTAGCGATAATTAGCAACATTGGAGCGAATGTTTCTAAAAGTGTTTGCGAAAGGCAGTTGGCGACTATTAGCGACTGTAAGCAAATGTTAGCGACATGTTTTGTTGGCAACTATTGGCCAATCCTTTGCCACTATTTGTGAACGTTTGAGACCTTTTGCTAACTCCTGGTACTCGATGGGTCGATTTTTATAAAGATATCATATGGTAACGTGGTCGCTAGCATTGGGGAATCAAAGAGAACTGGCGATAACAAAGAGCGACACCGTCTTACAACCGTTTGCAAAGGCCGTCGTAAGACTGTTTTGCAACCGCTTACGACTGTTTTGCAAACGCCTGTAACTGTTAGCGGAACAATAAATTCGCAAAGAAAAACTGTTTGCGAACTTTCTTGAAACCTTTTGCAACCTTTTACGTACGAACCCTGGCGAAACTCCAAATTCGCTACGTTCGCAAGCATTCGGCGCTCTGAGATACCCCCTTAATAAAAGATACATGTTGCGATTATTATCTAGTTGCGATTAATATCTAGTTGCGATCGATTCGAACCAAGCGATATAAGACGGGACCCTGGTCATGCGATTGCATTTTGAAACGTTTAGAAATGATCAACATGAAAAGGATTTGACTCAATCTTACTAACAATTGTATGCACTGTACACAGAAATGGGTACATGGAACTACACGCACACATTTTTTCTTGACATATTTTGCACAAAGAGGGCATGTGAAGAACATTTCTTTTCAGGAGACACTTCTACCAAGATATTCTTCCCAAACTTATTCAGAGATTTAGAAAGAGAAGACTTGTCTGTTTATGTCTCATGGAAATTTCCATGTTAAAAAACTCTATTCTACTCAATATTAATGATGTTGTAATATACTTCTCCAAAGGAAACACAACAACACTCCAAGAATCATTAAAGCAACGTCTTAGCTCGTGTTGGAGTTAATGACTTATTTGTCTACACTTGTTTTTCAAGATTTTTTTCACTTGGAGTTCGCTAAACTAAGTTATAAACTTCAATAGACCTACTGAAGCACAACTTTGACTAGTCGTTGCGACACCTTCTAGGTTCTTCACCCCGTCGCCTGTCTAGTTTCTTAGACGCTGCAGTGAATCTAATCACCTTCCGAAGATAAGACGGCGCGCCCTCATACCCATTTAACACCAATACTACATTAATTGAGAACTTTTCTATTGAGGATTAAACCCATTTGTCACCTTTCGTCATTAGATACGCCCACGATGGCCTCCCAAAGTCTATATCCGCCAAGTAGGAAGTACTCGGCACCCCGCCTTGTCTTCATCTCAACTCTCATCCTGCACCATGCATAACTGATAGAATATAATAATAATAATAATAATAATAATAATAATAATAATCTTTTAAAGTCCACTCCAAGTTGTATTAAGTTAAACCGAAAATGGAAATTCTTTTTGCCCAATTGATCGTGAGCCCAGCAGCCACTGAGCAGCGCCAGATCGACGTTGCTCTATCCCTTATTGTTGAACGCCAAACAAGGTAGCAGCAACTCCCATCTTTAAACGTCTTTTGGTATGACGCGACCGGGGTTCGAACCCACGACCTCCCGGTTCTGCCTTGAAGGACTCAACTTTTTGAGAATAAACTTCAGTAAGGGTAAAACTCGGGGTGCCCTTCTTATCAAAGAGAGTGGGGACTTCGATACGTCCTGTAAAATATAGAGAAACATATAAAGAATATGTCACGGTATAGCCCACAAAATATTGCAAGGTTATGATTACTAAATGAACTACAGTCTGAATCATGCTTCTCACAGAAAAAAACATGCATCGCTCATTACGTATGCACACACTGCGCACCGTTTGTCATGAAATTAATTAATAGACGCGAATTATGACGCGCTGGGGAGGGGTGGCAGCCATTTTGGACATCATATCCATCCAAAGGCTTTGACTACACGCCGCCCCTGATTACCAGTTTCTGTTTTAAAAATAATTTTCTTCATCATATTTTTTCTGAGCATTTATCGTCATGATCATTCATTCTCTTAACATTCTGTTTTTTTTTAAAGATCTTCGCAGAGATGGGCTTCGATCTTGATCCCGTCTTCCTTTGCGCCGCGCTCGGGAAGCTGTACCTGAACAAAAACATCACATACAACATTACTATAACACCCAGAGCAACAAGATTAGAATTGAAGCAATCCTTAATATTCACCGTTTCCTTTTCTTTATTTTCAAATAGATCTCCGCCGAGACGGGTTCGGCCCCGATCCAGTCTTCCAGTGTGCCGTGCTGGAGAAGCTGTTCGGTGATGGGACATCTGAACTAGTGGGATACGCCCTATACTTCTACGGGTTCTGCTCATGGAACGGCAAGATGCTCTACTTCGAAGACCTCTTCGTTGAGAGGGAGTACCGAGGTAAGATCCCTCAAAATCTTGAAAAAGTAGCTTTCTTAATATGATCGCAAAGACCTTCGAAAAATCACTCTAAGGGCAATTTCAATACCATTTTGTATTCCATAGAAATTATGTCCAGATTACGTATAAATGCGTCATTGTTCAAATTTAAATTCAAATTCAAATTAGGTTTTATTCAATCTCGTCAAAAAGTCCAAAGACTAAAAATGCGAGTTTACATCATACATACAATTATATAAAAAAGGCATTCAAAAACATTTATATATAAGAAAAATATAGCAAATGGAGAACAAAAATGAATACAAATGTTTTGTTCGCACATTAAGTGTGATGGACAAGGCTATTGAAATTGCTTTAGGTTAATTTTTCGAAAATCTTCGCCATCATGTTCACAGAGTAGGTTAATTTCAAGAATAGATGAAAACTAATTTATGAGCTATCTCAATTATACTCTGGGGCGGATCGAAAGTTTTCTTGGAGGAGGGGCGAACTTTATCCTAACATATATTTCTCAGGAAACGATTTCGAATCGACCCTAGAGTTTTTTTTTTCACTTTGAAGGGGTTAATGAGGGAATATTCTCTTAATCTTTCTAGATTCGTTTTTGTCTTTGAATGAAATTTGAAGTTGTTATTATTTTATTTTCTTCCTCAGGTATGGGACTAGGCGTTGCTCTCATGCACAAGGTTATTAAAGTAAGTGTATTTCCTTCTCTTTTGTTTGAGCCTAATACGGAGGGTCCGAGTAGCTATATGATTTTGGGTTTGGGGCAGGATTGTGAATATACCACAAACTAGAATTTAGCTACAATGAGACGGTGCATGAGTTCAGTGTCTAGTAGACAAAGCATTATCCATGGCCACCAGTCATCCGATGTACGAGGAGACGATTAGAAACTCTTAATCCTAAACCGAAACGGTAACCGCGAAATACAATGACACGCGATTACGCAATAGGCCATTTGGGGGGTAATGTAACCAAATTTATTCATATGCCTTTAAGAGGTGCCTTTGAACTCAAATTCGATGTGTAACGTCTTTACACAACAATTGGGTGGGAATAAAAGCCATTGTGTAATTTGTTTTTTACACAACTTAACACAGCCCCTGTGAAAGGAGTGAACCACCCAACTTTTGTGTAAAGTCGTTACACAACAAATTTGCAGTGATATACGAATTTTTTCATTCACCTGTTACCAATGAATGTATGCCAATAGTCAGAATTCAAATTGCATACGTCATGTCCGGCTTGAACGGCCTAACAACACGTAATAGATGCAATTTACATTCTAACTATTGAAATACATTATTATTATTCGTAACAAGTGAATGGAATCATTCCGATTTCGTATCGAGGCTCTGAAGTAGAAACTCGGTTATATATTACGAAAATGGCCTATTCCCATAGATTTCCTATCTCAGCCCGCGAGATAGAGGGCAGTACAAAGCCAACTAACTAGTCTCACTCTTGCTCCTGGCTTGATCCTAAACTCAAGACCTCTCCCGCTCTATAGAGCATGTATCTTTCACTCAGAGGCAGCCATCTATATATACAGAGTTTGGCCAACCTGGTTCGAGTTGGACACAATATGGCCACTACTGCTTTGTTGGACAAGAACAAAACAAAATATTTAGACCATGCTGTCAAATACATATTTCTTGATGAAATAACAAGAAAGAAATTACAGAAATTAGTCTTGCTTTGCTAAACGAGGAAGAAGGCAGGCAAAGGTCGGAGGTACTAGTCAAAACTCTTTTCATGTATGAGAAGACAACTTTTTTTAGTGCACCAGCGAAATATGTAAATTAAATTTGAATATTCATTAGGTTCTTTTCATTTACTAAGATCCCATAATGCATCCAACACAAACGCTATGACATGTCAAAGGTCACAATTGTAATTGAGTCTCTAACCCCAGCCCTCCTCCTCGGAGGTCAATGACATTAATTTTCTTGTAATTCTCACCTTTCATTTTAATCGTAGATGGCGGTAGACCGAGGCTGCAAATGCATCCAGGCTTGCGTTGTCGAATGGAACACAGAAGTCAGACAACTCTACAGACATCTTGGCATTGAAGATCTGACTGAGACGAAGAAATACCATATTCTCTCGTTCACCGGCGAAAAACTGGACAAATTTGTGAAGAAAGAGTCCTTCATCAGTAAAGACATGATTCTCAAAGCAGATTTGTGATTTTTTTTTTTAGAACTGTTTCCCAATCTGGAATTCAGAGCTGTCGGGTTAGGTCGGGACGCTTAACAGACTAAAGAGGAATAGTTCCTAAAGATTTTGTCGAAGACCATACCCGAAAACGGAGCAGATCTGTGATGAAGGGCCGCCAGTCTCATAGGCTTACGATGTAAAAAGCTGCTTCACACAAAAACAAAAGTAACTCTCGGAGATTGCAATTTCAGTTACGCCGCTCCAAAGCTTTTGAATAACCTACCACTAGACAGACGAAATTGAAGCCTCACCTGTTGCTGTCTTCAAAGTTGTATGGAAGACGCACTTGTTTTCAGGAGCTTTGGAATAGTTTTTATTTTATTGAGTGTTTGTAAAGAGTGACACTGTTTTCATCATTTTGTTTTCATCACAGCGCAAAAGAGTATATTGATATACATGTAGTACCTGCGCTATTTAGACTGATCTAACTATTATTATTAAACGAAATGACAGTTTGTGAACTTATGTGAAAATCATGATTCTTAAATCTAGTGCTATGAGGTGTAAAACGGCATTCGGATGAAACGCAGCTGTTACTTTTTTTGTAATCCTGAGATCGAAGCACTGATGATCATTGAGAAGTTTTATGCAATGTATTTATAATATTTTGTGAGCTAAATGTATCAGTCATTGATGCGATACTGTACTTTGAAATACGGAGAATTATCGAACGACTGCAGCTGATGTTCTTTGATCCAATCAAGTAGGGTCCATGACCAACCTTGATCCATAATTTCGTCAATTTAAACGTGATCCGATCTAGAAGCCTGGGCCCTGTTACATAAAACTTGTTATTAATAACAAGCTAAAATTGTATATTTGTAAAGCGCTTAGAGACATTTGTATTAAGCGCTATATAAAAATTAAATATTATTATTATTATTATTATTAAAATAACTGTTATAACTAAGCTACTGAAATAGTGGCATTTGATCGGCTGAAAGTAGATCAGTTGTCTTTTGTAGCATTTGTTATTGATGACAAGTTTAATGAAACAGGCAGAATTCCACGCATCACAGACAAATCACACCATCTCAGTTTTGTCTGAACCTGCGATAGCTGATTAAATTTTGAATATAGAATATTTCGTGAATATTATCGTCGGAATTCGCTCGTTTTTGTCATGCCACTTTTGAAAAAGTTGCTCGGTTTGTAATATTACCGGGTAAAAAAGGGATACATTTAAATGATACGGAAGGGGGCTTTATTTTAATAGTCAGAAATCTAACTCGTTTGAATTTTTAATAGAGGAAACAAAATCTCATAGTACAATCATAGACCTACTAATTCGATGGCTAATCTGTTATGCATTCTTCTTTTTCTTGCCTATAGTTTGTATGATCATAACTAGAGCATGGACATAGTTTATTCATCGTCTTGCTGCTAGCTATCCTTGACAAAAAAAATAACATTCGAAACTGTGATGGAAGTGAAAAACTCAGTTTTAAAGGCCCACTGCACTACTTGTAGCTACTTGCGCCCTCTTACAACAAACAATGCCTAATCGGTGACCATTGGTCCCCCATGATCATCTTTTTCTTATGTTAACTGAGAGCTGAGTTGATGAGATAACCACCTGTCCAGTGACCTTGTAGGGCGCTCTAATCCCTCCTTTAAACTATGGCAGATAAGCTTTAAGGTTTACGGTTCAGAAAAGGGTGCTCGCTCGCAAAATATAGTAACTCAAAGAATATTAAACCAAACGATGTCAGCTTCTTCCCTGGCGACATTACGCCCGTACGCTTTTGCTCTCACTGTGAATATCGATACTTATTTTCATTTTCCTTTTCTTTATGCAACTCCATTAATTAAATACAGTGCGGCTAATGTTCTATTTCGTTTTGGGAATGGAAAACCCTATTACATATCCGAAATGAACAAGCAATTAATCAATCTTATTGCAGCACCAAACTGGTGAGAAAGGCCAACCTCAGTATTTTATATTTTCGACTAACAAACCCAATTTGTTAACGGTATACATACTTCTCTTTGTGAACTTTGAACATTCGGAATTACGCACCTTCTGGGATGAACTTTGAGCATTGTTCGGAATCGCAAAACCCCTGTCTCAATCATGCTTACGAAAAAATCAGTCGCATACGGGGTAACATACATCTTATGATGACAAATCAAATTAAAAATTAATGTGTTCTTGGAAAAACTAATCTTCAAAGAATATGGCATTTTGTATGATACTTTATATAGTTATTTAAAAATAAAGATACTTTGTATATCATGTACATACTCTTGCCTTCGTTGTATATACTACATATCACGTATATTAAATAAAATTTCAGATGAATTAATTATGTTAATGGCGTGTGTAAATTGTTATAGCCTCGTTTCTATGCACAGGGATGGACAGGGACATTATGATTTATGAAAATAGTGTGGTCAGAAATATTGTGGGGGTGGAAGAAAAGAGAGCGAGAGAGAGAGAGAGAGAGAGAAGACGAGAGAGAGAAGGAGAGAGAGAGAGAAGAAGAAGAGAGAGAATGAGAGAGAGAGAGAGAGAGAGAGAGGGAGAGAGATAGAGAGAGGGAGAGAGAGAGAGGAGAGAGAGAGAGAGAGAGAGAGAGAGAGAGAGAGAGAGAGGGGGGGGGGGGGGGGGGAGAGAGGAGAGAGAGAGAGAGAGAGAGAGAGAGTTTGGCAGATTGAGCAGCTGAAGGTTGAGACTTGACGCAATCTTGCAATTCGCCATTCTGCACAGCGCCCCCTATGGTAATTTTCATAATCGACGCATTTCTTCATTATTCTACTTTCTTTCTCAAGTTACCCCTCTTTCTCCTTCTGTCTCTCTCTCTGTTTCTCTCTACCTCTCTCCCTTCTCTATCGCTCCCTCCCTCTCCTCTTCATTCCTTCCCTTCCCCTATCTCTTTATATCTCTTTGTCTCCCTCTCTTTCTCTTACATTTCCGTTACATTCCGTATCGTCTATCTCTCTCTTTCCACTGCCCCTTCTCTCTCCCCCGTTCTTTAGGCCCAACATACATCATGCTTTTTTTCTTCAAAAGCAGCCCATTATTTCAATTTTTGTATGAAACACCTTGTCCAAAATACAGAAACAGAACGTTTCTTTTCTTCTCTATAAATAGAAAGAGACTAATTTGCACATTTTGGTATCATGAAGAAAAGTCTAAGACTTACAAGGTAGAATCGTCAAAATCGAGGGCCCTTCCCGTTCTCAACCGACGTAATGTAACTTAAAAACTGTACTTGTTCATTCAAATTTTCTTCTCTTAAAATTAACGCAGTACACTGATATGAATGATGACATGTTACATGAATGTATCGTGAAGCAGCAATGATGACAGTTTAATTTCTGATGAACCACATGTCAAAGTAAGCTGTAGAATCTTATTGCAAAACACATTCAATGGATATTAAACAGTTGATACATAATTATATATATATGGGACAGAGAAGCAAGGTGGAGGAGAGGGTTTTTACCAAACATCCTTAGTATCAACAAAGACCTACCTCCGGGTGGGGATATCCACCCTGATATTAAGTTGGTGTTACTAGAATACAAAATATGAGAGAAACAATTCAGTGAACGTTTGAGCATAAACCGATAAAAAAAATAAGAAAGATATGAATTGTTGAAGTTGGTTGAATATTTTCTTGAGGGAAAATAAACATTTTTTTGTTTTTTTTACAGAGCAAATGAGAGCGGAGCTCGCAACATACGTCACAGAGTTGCCAATTTATGTTTGATTGGTCCCAAGTTAAAACATTCCTAATCTTCTTATTTGTAATCGGAATTTGCTTAAATACTTTTACTGACCTGTTCGGCTGTTCCTCTCATTTTTCTGCTACTATGAAAACCATCTTTAAGCTAATCTTGAGCTCTGGTATGGGAATCGTATTTTGAGAGAAAATTGCTATGATTTATTCTGGGATGTTTATCCTGCAGTAGAACGGTTGTTTGCACCAGTGATGTAAAAACAAACGCACAAAACTTCCTGGGCATCATCTTCGATAAAAACCACATCTCCAATTTGCACAGTAAGTACATGGTGTCGGTCCTACTTACACGGATTCCCTTATCTTTCTATGCTCATTACTCAGCCACTAAACATTTTCTGTCACATTTTTTTGGCACAAGTCATTTATTTGTAATCTTGAACATTCAGCGAAAGGTACATTGGATTTTGTGAGAATTTATTTTCCAAATTTACCAGAACTCAAGTTTATCTTTAAATCAGGGTGGACTTTACCTTTAAATAAGTAGATGTTGCATAGCATTACATAATGGCTTATTAGCCAATTAAAATGTGTATACTACAACACATGCACTTATACAGTATAATGATTATTCTTGAATAGTATTGACTATGTTCAGGAAAGAATGATAAAGAAAAAGAGATACAGGGGAGAGACACAAAGAGAGGCACAAAGAGAGAGAGAGAGAGAGAGAGAGAGAGAGAGAGATAGAGACAGAGAGAGAGAGAGAGACAGATTGAGAGAGAGAGAGAGAGAGAGAGAGAGAGAAGGGGGGGGGGGCAATTAAACGTGTATATAGAGAGCAAGAGGTACAAACACAAAGTGTGCCTTGATCAGGGATTCATATCTATATACATCTTTTTATTTGTGGAATTTCTATGGTATTTTTAAGAGACAAAGAAATATAAAAATAAGTTTGAAAGAGCTATGACGGGAGGGGGAATAGCAATTGGTGTATCCAACACAGCGTAAACCCTGCCCCTCCACCGCTAAAAGGTCCAGAAGAAATGTGCAGTGGGTCTAATATTCGTGATTCTCACAGTAATTTCTAACCCCGCCTCTACTCAGGAGAGGATACCGCCGCCCCCATATTTTAATGTCATGCTACTTTAAACATAATCAATGAGGAAATGTCTTGATTTTCCTTTTACGATTAGGGCCTACTTACTATTTGCTCATGTTTAATTAAAGAAAGTTTGAGCAATAGTTATGGCCGGTTATTTAAAGCCATGTGGCAACACACTACAAATTTCATGCAATTATCATCTTGCAGCAATATCAGTTAATTTAAACAACATCATTTTAACCATACATTCCATTAGAGTCACAAATCTTTTTCGTGGATTAACACAACATTGTTTATGACAATACTACACGAGAAGTGACTCATTTTATAGTCACATTTGTTATTCATACGTCGATTTGCACATTTCATTTTTATTTTGAACATAAACAAAATGACATTTCCTGCAAACAGAGCTTTCACTTTGTGTTTTCTCGAGTGCAACCAGCATCTACATAGCGTAATATTTTGAATAATTATTTTATTTGCAGCGCTCAATTATTATTACTCGCTGATGCAAACCTGTACGTTAATTCATCACAAGATGTCGCCATTCATCTTCAATCATGGCTAACAACATCTTTTTGGTCGATTTTGTATAAATCTGTGATGGAGCGTTCGATGCCATCCACCGTCGGGGCTTGGTTCAGCTTCTGGACAAGCTCTTTGGCTGGTTCCAGGTCCGATTCCAGGCCCTGGAGCTCGAGACGGAAGACAAAGTCATAGGGCTTGAAGGGGATAGCAGGGGTGAAGCGCCTGTAGAGCGCCCAAGGACCCACTTGGAACTTGCCTCCGGTCGAGGAGGCGTCTTTGATGATGTCTAGACCGGTTAGAAGCTCGATGTCCTTTTCGACGTCAAGCGAGTCGATGTCTGATGAAGCCTGCAGCAAACAAGAGGATCAATCAGGAAAAACCTAAATAAATTAATCGATGAGAACCATTTTGATAATTTAATGGAGCACATTAAATATGAACAGGAGCATTTCTAGAACGAGGGAGTGTCGGGGAGACCCCATACCCATGTATCAACATTTTTCATCAAATCCCCCTCTCTCTCCCTATCTCTGCTTTATTCACCCCCTTCCCCCGTCGCTGCCCAAATACCCCTCTTAGAAAGCTACCCTGAGGGCTGATATGAGAAAACAGGTCTCCTCGTTAACAAATAAATACATAATACTACTAATAATAATATTCCGCTTTTATATAGTGCAATAATACGATGTCTTTATACCCCCTCTCCTTCCTCCCCCTCCTCCCCTCCTCCCCTCCCCCTCCCTTTCCTCCCCTCCCTCCCCTCTCCCATACCCACGGGATATCCCGATGAAGATGAACTCACCTTGAAGCCTGATATGAGAAAACATGATGCAGGCTTGGCGGGAAGATCTGGTGCGATCGCTCCTCCGCTCGTAAGAGACTCGTGATACCCTCCTAATGAAACAAACATGAAAGGGCATCAAAAAGACGAATGGACTATATTAAATCGAGAAGAGTGCTGTGCAGCGCCGATGGCTGCTCCCACAGGCTCTCCCTTTCTTGGCATGTTTCTAGCTGTCAGAGGAGACTTCTTATATCGATTTTTATACCAGATCATAGAGGAAGTGGTATAGAGAAGAACTATGGCTCCTGTCAGAAATATGAAGTCACCGTTTCTTTGCATTTATCGTTTGATTTTGCTGTCATTTTCTATCATCATGCACCAGTTCACCATTGGACTTCAACACATAGCAGTGCAGCTCCTTTTCATCCAATTGTGTTCTTTCAGACTGCCCCGCCTACCATTCTTTTTACTGGACTCTCAGAGGATAAGCTGTCTATTATCAACCTGGACTCTTTTGATTTGAATCAAGAGTCTCCCCATTTAGTCATGGCTTTGAATGTGAAGCTTATTCAGTACACAGCATTGTATCTTCACATCTTGCGTCCCATTGATGATGTTTGTAAACTGGACAGTGAAGTGTGCCTCAGGATCAAGTCTCTGCACTTATCACGTAAAACATGCACTGTTCATGTAGATCAACGTGGGTCATGTTTGAGATACTGGAAGGGTGGCAAACGACGACGATGGAGAAAACGTGGGAGGAGAAGTGGCAAATGTATAAAATGCCTTCAACCTATCCCAGTCGTGGTCTCTACTTCAGACCAATACCCATGGTACCGGCCTGTAAGACGTATATCGCCGCGTCCAAATCCGAATCTTATCTATCTGATTCAATCGCAGCAAACGCCTAGGTGTACTGCTAATGGATCTCGATCTGGTCAGGCTCGTCTCAGAATTGGACACTGGAATGCACGCTCCATGAACAACAAAACGACAATGATTTGTGACTTGATCATAAGCAACGACTTAGATCTTCTGATTGTGACCGAATCATGGCTGAGGGGAGGTCTTTATGATGATCCTATCATTGCAGACGTTGTAGCAACTTTGCCTGACTTTCATGTGGTACATGAACACCGCCAGAGTCGGGGTGGTGGTATATGCATCATATATCGCTCTTCTTTGAAAATCACTAGAGACTGCTCTACAAAATTCTCATCTTTTGAGCACATGGATATTCTGGTCCGCGTCTCTCCTTCTGTGGTTTTTAGGACATTTGCCATTTATAGGCCTCCCCCATCGTCTACAAACAAACTGACGTATGACAATTTTGTGGCAGATTTTCCGACACTGTTAGAATCTGTAACAATCGATCAGCATCAGCTTGTGCTCATGGGAGATTTCAACATCCATGTTGACGACGAAACTGACAGAGATGCTAGGAAATTCCTCGATATCTTAGACACATTTGATCTTCAGCAGCATGTAAAAGGTGCAACTCATCGAGCCGGTCATACCTTAGATCTCGTGATTTCCAGAAAGGTTGATCATCCTATTGTGGCCATGGACGTCGTACCAGGACTTCCTTCCGATCACTCGGCAGTCCTGACTACGCTCAATTTTGTAAGTCCAGCAACTTCCAAGAAGCGGATAACTTGTCGGAAACTTCGGGACATTGATGTGGTTCAGCTTAGGAATGACATACAAACCTCATTGCTTACACTTCCTACAGCCAAAGATGCATCTGACATGGCAGAACAATACAACATCGTACTAAAGGAGCTACTTGACAAGCATGCGCCTGAGCGATCAATACTTGTCACAATCAGACCAAAAGCTCCCTGGTACACCAATGAAGTTCGTGAGGCAAAACGATCTAAACGGCGTGCTGAGCGTAAATTGAAAAGTTCTGGTCTGGAAGTTGATCGTCAACTGTTCAAAGAGGAGTGTAAATCCTACAATGCAGTCTTATCTCAATCAAAATCTCGTTACTTGACCGACGAGATTGCGCAGTGTGACACCAAGCATCTTTTCCAGCTTGTTCAGACGCTTTCCCGCCCAAAGTCACAGCATCTTCTACCGGACCATGAGTCAGACATAAATCTGGCTAATGATTTTGGACAATTTTTCTACAACAAGATTCAAGACATCGTCACCAATCTTCAGGGGATTACTAGCCGTTCATCAGATTGTGAGGATGGAGTGACGACGCACAAACTCTCTTCTTTTGAACCTGTATCAGAATTGGAGGTGCAAAAGGTGATCCGTGAGAGTTCTTCTAAATCGTGCCGACTTGACCCAATACCAACTTGGCTCATGAAAGATTGTATTAATGAGCTTGTACCATTTGTAACTGAACTTGTTAATCTGTCCCTGTCTTCTGGAGAGGTACCTGCAGCGTACAAGACATCACACGTCACTCCTCTCTTGAAAAAAACATCTTTGGATCGAAATGAGTTTAAAAACTACAGACCGATCGCGAATCTTCCTTTCATCGCCAAGACTCTAGAGAGGATTGTAGCTGCTCAGCTCAGGACACACTTAGAAGACAATGGTTTATATCCTGTCATGCAATCCGCATACCGTCAGTTCCATTCGACAGAAACAGCCCTCTTGAAGGTTGCCAACGATCTCTTGTTAGCCATTGACAAAGGACTTGAAGCTATTCTTATTCTGCTAGACTTCTCGTCTGCGTTCGACACGATCGATCATAGCATGATGATACAACGTTTCTGTAATAAATATGGATTTGAGGGAGTCGTCCTGCAGTGGCTTGCCTCCTACTTGGAAAATCGATCTCAGGTCATCGTTCTCAATGGTGTCCAGTCCGAAGCATTTCCACTAACTTGGGGAGTACCACAAGGATCCGTTGTGGGACCGTTGGACTTTATACTCTACTCTGGTCCCCTCAGTGACGTCATAAGGTCCCATAAGGGTGTTGAACACATGATGTATGCCGACGACACACAAATGTATCTGATACTGAAGCAAAGTGAAATCGCCAGTGGGGTGGTGAGACTGGAGCAGTGCATCGCAGATGTGAAAGTCTGGGCTCGTGATAACAACCTCATGCTTAATGGTGCCAAGACAGAACTCATGCATATGACGTCAGCATTTCGAAAAGCCAGTGAGCTGCCAGATTTCGAAGTCGACTGCAATACAATCAATCCATCAAAATCGTCTATTAATCTCGGAGTCGGAGTGGATGACAAACTTACCATGAAGCAACATGTTCAGAAATCATGCAGAGCCGCTTCGTTTGGAATTTACCGGATCGGAAAACTCAGAAAGTACCTAGACCAAAGTTCTACTGGGCGCCTAATAAATGCATTTGTGACATCACACATTGATTACTGTAATAGCCTGTTGATAAATCTACCCAGCTCACATCTGACCAAACTCCAACACATCCAGAACACTGCAGCCCGTCTCCTCACACGCACAAGAAAGTACGAACACATAACACCTATTCTTCGTTCTCTTCACTGGCTCCCCATTCCACAGCGCATCCAATTCAAGGTACTGCTTCTCACCTACAAGGCCCGTAATGGACTTGCTCCAGTATACATCAATGGACTCATTTCACCAAAGGTGCAAACCTCCTCCATCAGGCTCCGCTCATCATCATCTGTTCATCTTCAACTATCATCTGGTCCTCGAACTCACACCCGCTATGGAGATCGTGCCTTCTCTGTATGTGCTCCTAAACTCTGGAATAATCTCCCCGTCTCTGTCCGTGAATCCCAACTCTTGACACTTTTAAACGTAGACTTAAGACCTATCTATTCAACACGAAGTAATTGTCCATCATCATACCGTATTTATAACCACATGTCCTATCTTCTTGTAATCTATTTATTGTCTAATGTACATAATTATTGCAGTTTCATTAATGATACTTAATTATTGTATTTACATTTTCATTTTTCATTATCATGTTATTGTTATACATTGTTAGTTAAGTAATTCGTCCAAATTAAGCGCATTGTTTATTTCACGTTTCTTGTTGATCCTTATGACATATTTAGTTTAACCGTACTTTTCATTTCACTTGTTTTGTAAAGCGCTTAGAAACTGTACTTGTATACCAGCGCTATATAAATCTTAAATATTATTTATTTTATTATTATTATTATTATTTATTATTATTTTATTATTATTATTATTATTATTATTATTATTATATGGGGATTAAAAGTTAATGTTTCATGCTCCATATGCTGTATCCAATTTTAATAACGGTAGACGGTGAGTCATACAATTGAGTGGGAAAATGAATAGAACACATTGTTATCACGATTTCTTTGTTAACGGGGAGGGGGGGGGGGCATATTGCAGTGATTCAGTGGTGGGTTAAGAGATCGGGGGGGGGGGGCACAAGGGGTACAAATATGAAGACATGTCTGACAATCAATGAAGAAAAGGAAGAAGATTAAGAAGAAAAAGAGGAACAAGAACAAAGAAAAAAGAAAGACAGAAAAGAAAGAAAGACAGAAAGAATAATGAACGAAGAAAGAACGGAAAAAACCTCACACCGTTTTGATGAGTGTTTTCACTCATCATTAGTGTCCAATGTAGTGTTTCAATTTTTGATTAATTTTTAAAGCAAAAATACAAATTTTATTGCAGAGCAAGTTGAGCTTTCCCGGAGGCTTAATCCGCCACTCTATGTGTGTATCAGTGTGTACAAACACAATCTGATCATTGAGAAATATAAACCGCTCTATGACTCTTTTAAAACGCATTTACCATTAAGATATTTTGCCTACACCTATTCTTTAAAAAAATAAAATAAAGTACACTATTATTTCCCAAACTTTCCAGAATATTTCGGGTGCTTTCCTCGCCTCTGTACACGGTCACTTATTTGTCACACGTGCAATTGTTTACAAAGCAATATGCACCCAGATGGAAGGATTGCTTTGTGCAACACACTGGGTTTGCACACTTACCAATTCCTAGTCTTGATTAGCTCCATCACAACCCTTTTAACACCGGTACATATTAATCTTGCACTGGAAACATTAAAAAAACGCTGAAGCCTTTAATTTGGTATATCGATCCTGTGATGATAAATACGATGTGACAGAGAGACTATTTAATAATAGCCGAGGAAAGGGGGACAGTGGCTTTCCCCTAGAGCCTGGAGTAACACAGGGCCCCGTATCACAAAGAGTTGATATCAATCGCAACTTATTTACGATTGATATCAATCACAAGTATGTACATAAGAGATAGGAGACTGCAAACTTGCGATTGATTTGGATCAATCGCAACTCTTTTTAAGACGGGGCCCTCATGTAGTTTTGTTTCATGTCCTTCTCCAGCACCCCCTACCACCCCCTCCCCAAAGGGGGAAAACCGAGGGAACGTACCTGGATAGTTTGTCTGTAGTCCAGGTGGACCATGGCTCTCCCCCAGAGCTTGGAGTAGCTCGGGTGTTGGTTGCGTCATGTCCTTGATCACTACCTGGTTCGTGTCGTTGAACGTGGCATAGTTCATGTATTTGAATTTACCTGTAAAGAGAAAACGAAAAAAAACCCAAAACATTGCTATCATTCTCTGCAGCTTTAAAGGGATAGTTGAGTTTTGTTGCAGAGGGCGCTACACAAATTTTCTTTTTTGGGGTGAGATAAAGAAAAACTGAGTGTCAAATTTGAAAGAACATACAATTTAAATGACAAAATCATCTTTGTTTGATCAAAATCGTTTCAGAGGCGGCTGAAATATCCATAAATATAACCATTTCTAATATTTGTGTACCACCAAGTATTAGATAATTTGAAAAAGCCGTTGAAAAAAACGAAATAGCGCCTGGATAATGATGATGATGATGATGAGAATGAGGATGATGTTGTTGATGATGATGATGATGATAATAATAATAATAATAATAATAATAAAATTAATAATGATAACAACAAATATTAAGTTTTGATAATAAAAGTGAACATAGCATATATTTTTCAACCGTCAGTGGCGCAAAAATACATCGAGGTTTCGGATGTAGCTTTCTTGGAGTGCTTATGTGACGTTGCCCCCCTCCCCCTCCCTCTCAATAAGCTGTGTTGCTGTTACTATAATTGCTCCATATTGTGTTGTTCAGTCGAAAAGTGTCCATCAATATGCACATTTTAATGTTAATGTGTGAAATGTGAAAATAATGTTCACCTTTAAGTATGAATCATTCTCCAGAAAGTATAGAGGGAGGGAACCTAATATGGCCTGCGTGTTTCTAATATGATTGGATTTGTACAATTCATGCAACCTCGTCATGTTTTCAAATCAAGATCTCAACAAACACCCCCTTCTCTCTCTCTCTCTCCTCTCTCTCTCTCTCTCTCTCTCTCTCTCTCTCTCTTCTCTCTCTCTCTCTCTCTCTCTCTCTCTCTCTCTCTCTCTCTCTCTCTCCCTTCTCTCCTTATTCCATCTCGATTCGACCGAGGAGGGCGAGATCCATAATTCCCGCGCTTTGAATTGAGTCACGTCTTGAGGATCGAAACGCGACCCGATCACAGTAATCCTCATTTGATCCCAACTCTGAGTCATCCCATTGTCTGGAGAGTTAAGAGCAAGGATATTCTCGAGAGGAGAGGAAATTCCCTTCTCGAGCTAGCTTTCTATCTCTCCATCTAAGATGTAATGGTGACAGCAAGGATGTCATTAATACGTCGAATGGTACAACAAACTTGGCAAAGGCAGTTGTTTTCAAGAAGTAAAATTAAAGTGCATTTTTAAAGTGAAATACAATTAATTGCATTGATTTGATTTAATCTATTCATATATACGTATACATACATAAATACCTACATTCATATAGACATCTTTTTCATAAATAAATTACAATTTAAAAATAATCAATCAAATGTATATACATGACTGGATCGTCGTACTAATTAAACTAATGATTGATGTAGCTCTTTCTTCGTCAGATTCATCTGAGTTTCACCGTAAGCACGCCCCAAATAGAAAATAAGTATACAAATAGTACACCCACTTGGAGTCTTGCTAACTAGAGCTTGCCTGTATTTCAGTATGATATGAATAGCCTCATCAATATATCAGATGTCTTGTATGTTGTGGTTCTCAATAATCTTGAAAACATATTTAATTTTATGGATGTTTCTTTTCTTGGGACCTGTTAATAATAAATGGACTACAATACTTGGAATTTAGTCTGTGGGATGGTCGTCAAGACCAACCTTTGTTTAAAAGATATGCATACAATTTGAATAAGCTAGTACATGATTATTTTACTGGGCCTTCCATGGGTGTGTGTGTGTGTGGGGGGGGGGGGGGGGCTAACTCTTGTGTTGGGTACGAAATGCTAACGGTTGTCCGTTAATAACCAAGTGGTGATGGGAGGAAGAGGGGCGTAGGTTAACTTTTAACCATGCAGTGGCACAGGTATAGGGGATGCTTCCCCCACCCACATCGGAGGGGGGGGGGGGGGACAAAGGAGAAAGAATAGTAGAAGTAAGAAAGAACATATAATGATTATACAACTTTTTTCCCGCACTCCTGACCCTTATTTTACAGCCCCAATCTCTCCTATTTAAAGTCATCCGACTTGTAAGAACGATGATCCTCCCCACAACAGTGCCCCTAAATAGGCCTCAATAGGCCAAACATTATGGCCTGTCCTACCCAACAACATGCAATGTATGCAATTCGAATTCTGACTATTGAAATACAATTATTCGTATACAGGTAAATGAAATAATTTCTAACAAGACACTTTAAAACAAAGATATGTGCATTACATTTCGAAAACGGTCTATATTACTCAACACACGTTACACTACTGCTTTTTATAACAATCGGACTTTACGTTTTATTCTTTACGTGATGATGTATTACATCATGTCATAGGAGATGGCAACGATCAGATACATTTCCGGCTGAAGTTGTGTTTTGTTTTTATTCCCAGGTTCTGCATCAGGGTTGATGGACAACTTCCGATTTGGCACGTGTTGAAATAGTCGTCTTCCTGAAACGCGAAGTAACAGCTATGTCAGCAGTGGCGTAGCTACCTTCAATACGGGGGCACATGCCCCTATCGAATTTTGAAAATGAGAAGAGAGAGGGAGAAAGAAAGGAGAGCGGGGGGGGGGGTCCTGAATAGATAGTATAATCTAATTTAACACCTTTTCTCATCAATGCCCTTTAATTCGCATTTCATCCCGAATAAGATGGGAACACATAAAAAAATGATGCAGTTGGCCCCCAATGTGTGGACCCTCGCTACGCCACCGTATACCAAGTTCCGTGCTGTACGTAAGATAAGTAACTACATGTACCAGACAGGACCTGATTGAGCTATATCACCCCATAGAGAGAGATACAAAATGGGTTGGAGGGGTTGCCCCCCTTGAGAAAAGAAAAAAAAACATGCAATCCTGTTTGAACAATCACCCCCCCCCTTATCCCCCTACATGTCCCATTCAGGAGGAAGGCGTCATCGTCCATGCCACTCTATTAAATACTAGAGTTGTTATGATACGCATCTGTTCATAATATATGTGCCCACAATCGTCTCAATTATGTAACACATTCTCACTGTTGCTTTCTTTTGGTTCGTGTTTAATTGACGGTCCTGGTAATGACTTGATTAGGCCAATATGTCATTTTCGTTATGTAATCTAATTGAATGCATAAATCTTTGTGAAGTGCCTAGTAACAAATTATTTCATTCACCTATTGCGAATAATTGTATTTTAGTAGTCAGAATGCCAATTGCATACACTACGTGCTGTTCGTAGGGCAAGCCATAATATTTTATTAAAGGGAGGATTTATGTCCCATTGGTATTTCCATGTTCTGTCAATCGGGTACTGGGTTCGAGGCTCCGCGCTAGCGTCAGCGAATGAGACCTGTCAACTGGTCGTTATGTACATGTACAAATACATTATTTGCATTCTGAGTAGTGAAGTAACAAGAAAATCGCTCATCATTATTCCTGCTCTTTTCTTTCAAATGATACATCTTAAAAAACAGTCCTAAATCAGGTCCAAAAGCAGTGTCGCATGGCATGTGTATGGATAGATTCTCGCAATGATTCTTCCCAGTGTTGATATTCCTGGCAGGAATTAGTTCCTTGAAATGCTAAAACGCCATAATGGCAGCCATGCTAAAGCCGGGTTGATTATTGTGGAACGCCAGGAGTGTTAAGTCTACATACACTGTACAAGAATCCACTCTTGTTATCATTACTATATTTATGATTGTAAAATTATAAGAATCGTGTACTCATGTACAGATATCATATTATAATTCCCGATTATTATCATATTTTTGAAACCCTTTATTTACTGCCAATATAATGAACCTTAAATAATTTTAATCAGGAACACACGCAGACGTTATTTCGCTGGTGTTCATTTAAGCCTCGGTCACAAATGCCATTACGAACTGTACGAACGCCGTACGAACGATTTCACAGACAATGAAAATTCGGGAAGACAATGGAAAAACAGGGAGATTCGTACGTAATTATCGTTCGTACGAACCTTTGTGACCGTAGCATAACATGATGAAGAAATGTCATTTTGACACACATGTTGGATTCAACTACAGAATATGCATCTACCAGAATCAATCAATTCAACACCTCGAATCGTCCCAGACAAACAGAAAATTAGCATAACTCCTCGCCCCGTGACTCAAACGTCTGCGCCCTTAAGCACCTCGATCTCGCAACCTTCCCATTATTTGCATGTCAGACGAGAAAGTAAGACACCCCTCCCCTCCATTCCTGTCCCCACGCCGCAAGGGGATCACGCTTACCCTCCGAAAGGCGACAGAACAAAAGGATGCGGAAAGAGAGGGGCGGATGTTATCTAGTTCCTGTTGATAATGATGCATGCATACGATATACATAATAATGTGATTACCAGGGATTTAATTCTCCATCAGATATAATCCTTTACAATATTGTTGAGATTTAAACCTATCGGTATCATAAATTTCATGATCCACTGATATCCTAAACAAGCTGAATGCTGAGTAATATTTGCATAATGTTTAATCGTAGCGCTGCTAAATAGTGAATATGAAGGGCTTGTATAGGGGTATCATTGTCAAAAACAAATAATCTAATGAAATGATTGAAAAGGGAATATACAGGCTTAGTTTAGTTAGCCCCTAAAATTCCTCCAATTAATTTACAATTTACATGGCATTGTCCTATGAACATCAAGAAATATTTGTTCTTGATAATTCCAAAGTGGGGGCAGTAACTGCAAAGAAACAAACAAACATTTATTTTAGATTAATGCTACGGCCACAAAGGTTCGTACGAACGACAATTTCGTACGAATCTCCCCGTTTTTCCATTGTCTGAAAATCGTTCGTACGGCGTTCGTAGCAGTTCGTAATGGCATTTGTGACCGAGGCTTTAGGGACAACAATTAGAACTCTTATGTTTTTGCTCCTGTACGTTAAGTGTGACAGGTGTCCATAGGTAATGGAAAATCTATAATAATCACAATTTATTCATTTTGCATTTATGTTATAA